AATTTCAAGGAATGATATTGAGATTTTTAAACACCGCAAACGAGATACGTGGTTTGGTAGTTTCACCGTCGATATTCTGTAAAAAATTCGCTCCCAAAAACACGTATTCCTCGAAATAGCAAAAACTGCACTTATGCGCCTTGGCTTCCAAACCGCTCAATTTGAATTACGGGCTTTGTGTCATCCACTACTTCCGAAGTGATGAAGAGAGTCGTCTTCGATTAGTTAGCGACTCCTATCAAGTTTCAGGTTGGCTGGTTCCAAATTTTTTACTCCTTATGGGGTCGATTCTTGCGGTGCAATGCTTCGAAAATGAAAACAACATTTGCTCATTAAAAGCTTCAGAATTTTCGGGAATTCTCTGGAAAGAATAAAGGGTAATAATAGTTCTTTTTTTTATCACACGGGTGAAATTTGTTTGAAAAATCCTCACTGTTATGCACAAATGCAGGGAAGTAGATAAGAATGCATCGCACCATTCTGGTGTGCTGTGGAAGAACGCCGTATGAGCCTTCAGACGCTGCCAAATTTCGTTTAAAAAGACCTAAATTTTCTAACTCATCAATCTTTTGTTCCGTAATTTTCGAAGAATTTTGTTCTCGATTTGATCTTGAATACCTGAAAATTTGCAAGAAATCTATTCATGACATGTTTATAAAATGGAGAAAATTTGCCAACCATTGAATGTTTATACGGCGCATTTCCTCAGAAATGCAGCATTATCTACCATTATGATCATTTCCAATAAGAGATCTATCACGTGTGATATAGAAAGTGAGACCTGTTGCCCATCTCTCTCTTTCAGAGATTTCCCAAAAATCGATTTGTCAAGTTATTGACGTAAATATTGTTTTATTTGTTTTCAAGTCATTTCTCCACAAAAGACAACTCCTGCCATTTTCATTCTGAACGAATAAATTTGGCAACAGCCGACCTGAAACTTAGTGCGGACCATCAGCCAATCAGAGACGACATGTGCCATCACCTGAAAAAGAAAGTGTGCTATGTTTGGTCTTTGGTTTCCGTTCTGTCTCCGATCACCTCGTAGCCGTCGAATGTTTCCCATCGAAACTTTTCCCCTCAAAAGCTAACTTCATCAATCGGAAGCCTGGAGTTGGACTGAAGTTGTTAGTAGAGTTTTCAAGGAGCATATTGTCGTTTCAATCTTTCTAGAAAAGAAAAACTTCCGAGTAGTTTACGAGTTTTAAATTCACGTGGGGCTTTTGTGATCGAATGCAAAGGAAAAATATCGTTATCAACCATTTGGCAGGAATGATGAGCATTTTTTTTATCCAACTCGAGCGATGAGTTCCGAACGGAATACATTTTGCAGTTCGGAACTACCATTTCTGCTTCATACATAAAAACACCTATCTACTTAGGGAAACTCATGACACATATACTGTATCTATAATGAGCTGGAAATTTTTCTTCCTAATCACTAAATATTGTTCAAATAAACCTTGATGGACATTTTCAAAATTACAACTCCACCGATGGTATCACTCGTGTCTCTCTTTCGAAAATTGTGAGGGGTTATCCTTAAATTACACTCCGCAATTTTTCCAATTTTTTGACATCCACACGTCACCCGTCTGTTGTAGCACACTTGCAACGGTGATTTTTCCGGATACCCTCTAAATAATTACATAACTTTTGCTTCGATAGTCCCGGGTATGTCTTCCACTAAGTAGAAGACTCTGAGTTTTAAGAAACAAGAAAGAATTAGAAAAATATCAGCATTTAAAATTTAAAAAGAAAATGTCGGAATCCACTACATAATGTTACATAATGCTGCGCTTGACACGCTCGCATCTCTTGTCATGCTTGGTCACAAAATCAAGAAGATCTACCCATCTTTAACAGCGTTACGTAATTTATGGAAACCACCAAATTCTTCCAGATTGTATTTGTTTGGATTGAACCCAAAGAGCTAGAAACTATAGATAAGGTGATCTGAGCTGATGCTAATGGTGAATTTCGTCACACACCAGGAGCAATAATTAGGTCAGGGGGTCAGGACGAGGATAGTCGGTTTCCATGGTTTCTTATGGGACTGTTGCTGTAAAAGGACTTATATCAAATTCAGAACCAACTGTTTGAAAATCCATGTCCAGATACGAAACCTAGCCACTCTGAAAGCGAGTTTTCGATAAAAATTTCAACGCAAATGATTTATTGTAAAAACTCCCGTAAAATCCCATGTTATCGAGACTATGACGAGACCAGTAATGGGACAATTCCACTCCTCGCCCGCCTATCGAACGACCGCTCCATATGTGTGACGTATTTCCGTAGGCCACCGCCAAATACCAACATACTGTTTATATGTATGTCGTTGAGCCTCTGAAAGGCTTAAAACTGAGTGAGCCAATGAGAGAGCGGCGCAGACTTTGCGGAAATCGCCCTCTAAATCGGTATTTACTTAGGTAGTTACAGCCACTCGCGTTATTTTGCACCCCAAGCTCTTCTTAAACGAGTCTTTTTCCGTGAATGAATGTACTAAAAGCTTAAAATCGCTCAATCGGCTTATCGGCCCATTCATGCAATCGATCATTCATCGAGCAGGTTCCTCAATTGTCCCGCAAATTATAGGTTAAATTATGAAAGGTGCCCCCGAACGAATTAGTCGAAGGCTAGCCTTTTAGAGGATCTTTGACGCAGATTGGTGACGTAAATGCAACGAGAGGATAGTGAGAAGAGTCGAGGAATTCGGTCGGAGAATCACTGATCACTTAATAACTCTCAACATTCTTCGGAATATTAAATCGGTTTTCGTAACTTCGCCCGTCGACGCCAGTCACAGCGAGATTAACATCCGCGAGAATGACATCTCAGTGTCATAAATCATTTTCCTCCAGGCTCGCTTTTCATCGATCGAGGAAATTTGGCGAAGTTCATTCTGTCGCGTCCACCGATTGTCATAAGTAGTAGTAAAAAATTGAGACAATTTTGGTCAAGTTCTGCAAATGCATGAAACTAAGCAATCGGCACAAGTCTGTATTCGTAATTATGAGAAAATGTCCATGTGCAATAGATTAAGACTGCTAATTATGTGTATGATTTAAGTAAACAAGGTTGAGAAATGGTGCCACGTCCACGCCATTTTGAGGGGAAAACAAAGCCAAGAACCTTGTTACATACAGTTCGGGCCACTTTTTAGGGTTTTTTTTTTGGATGTGAGTAAATGTTATTTCCATAGAGTATATAGAGTCGTAATGTAAATGGGAGAGCTGGCGTCCTGTTCTGGTCGACGAGTTCCGAGCCCGGTGTGCGCCGAGCTTCGGTCACTTTTTCGATACATGTTCAAAATGGCGGTGTGGAATACGTAGTAATTCCTATCTTCATTGTTTACATAGCGACGGTGAAACTACCAAACCACGTATCTCGGTTTGCGACGTCGCAGACTTCCTGTCATACTTTATTTTTTAAATAAAAAAACTACTTAACGTCCAGTCTTGAAAATTTCTGTGATTTTTCCTCTTCGTGCGGAAAAAATTCTGTAAAAATTTCAAGGAATGATATTGATTTGGTCTACTTCAAAAAAATAAAATGTGAGCGTAGATTTTTAAACACCGCAAACGAGATACGTGGTTTGGTGGTTTCACCGTCGATAGGATGGTCACATCCCCGTGTATCACAAACAATCGAATTTGTATCGAAAAAAGACCCGGCGTAACACAGGAGTCTCGGAATTCGGGATCGAGTCTCGGAAAATGCTTAAAAGTGGTGCCAATTCTCCCACTTACATTACGACTCTATGTATTCTATGGTTATTTGCATTGGAACATTTAGGAAATTCCATTTCCCCCCTTTTCCCCCTTTTTTCAACACTAAACCAAAAATACAATCATATTACCTTCTAGTCACGAATGGTTGCATACAGGAGTAGGATGAGAGTGGCTTTTGTGCTTCAGTTTTGATATCGCGATGTGCTGAACATGGTTTGTAGCGAAACTATTCATGCTTAAGAGTTATCTTTGAAGTATAAATGAAGAATCAAAGGCACCCTGTCATTACATCCTCGCAATATAGTTTGCCGCACTATGAAGCGAGCCTTTCAGAGAGGTTGGACCAGCAATTTTCGACTAAAACTGCAAATTTTGATGTTAAAGTCCTCACACTATAAATTATATGGATTGCTTCTTAAACAAAATACGAGAAAATCAATCAATCCACTTCTAAAACATATACGTTCCATATTAACATCGCTGAGTTTTTAATGTATACACATTTTGCACAACTCCTCTCATAAACTCGCTTCCTTGATTAGCGGTTATCGTCTGAAAAACGCCTTAATTTCCGTGCGTATGCAACACGGGCAACTATAGAGCTCGAATAGTTGCGTCCAGGACTTCCAGGAGTTAAAATGAAATTCGTATAGAATTCGTCGCATGTGCCATTAACTGAAGCTTCAATTGTTTTTCTAACTTTTCAACTCAGTTTCAACGTTGCCCATCGTGCCGATGATGTAAAACATAACTAATTTTTTAGCGAAATCGTCAATTTTCCGAATAGTGAATTATTTAAATGTATTGCGATGTTGCCGGCCCTCTAATTCGCACACAATTAGGTATCTGAACACGATATGTAGAGTTCCCTTCAACCTACTCCAATAATTCGTCCTCTGTTCAGATTTGATTCCTTCCTCCTTATGGGGAAACCAGTATCAAAGAAGAATTCTGAAGAATCGCACGGAATTTGGAACAAAATCGATGACCATTCATCTCTCAAAAATTAAAATGCTACACGAACCCGAAACATCACAAGCCAAAATACACGTACATGATTTATCATGCGCAATAGCGAAAGTATAGCACAATAAAGTTTAGAAGATATACCAGTGATAATTACTTTATATTCTTTTTTTCTCCTGGAATGTGAGTTGCATCTGGTAGACTTCTATTAGTTGTCATTTTTCAGTGATTGATTTTGTGTCGATGTGTTTATATACATATGTATTTTCCAATTTTTTTTCATTGTGTACTTCCATGTTACAGCTATTGTTGCTGCGATAATACCAAATCTCGCCCCTATCATATCTCTGTTTGGTGCGATTGGTTTCTCGATGTTGGGACTTTTCTGCCCGGCTGTGATAGATTTCGTGCTGTTTTACGATGTTGAGAAAGGCCTAACGGACTGGCGCTGTTGGAAAAATATTCTGCTCATAATTGCCGCTTTTTCGGCTACATTCCTCGGCGCTTACACGAGTTTGGCCGATATCATTTCCAATTATAGTTGAATTTCTACATCTTTCCAGATCACAATGTATCTCATGAGCTAAAATTTTACGCTTGTAAATATTGTTATTTATTTTGTAAAATTATAATTCTTCTAGGAAAAAGGAAAAAACAAATCAATCGTGTCACGCTGTATTCTGTTCATTCCTGCTCATCATCCCTCTAAACAGGGATATCCTATAACTATGTTTGTCATATTTTTTTAAGAATTTCAACACTTACTAGTTTTTTTTCTAAATAAAAGGAAATAACTTGGACAAGCTTTTTACTCCGTTGAGTTAATCCTTTAAATGAGTCCACCGTGCATTCATAAAATGAACATCAGAGGCGGTGTGAATGATCGATTATCCATATTTCCCTATTTGAAGCTATGGTAAAGAATCGATTATCAAGGTATTCGTTGCGAATACCCCGTTTATCGATCCTTTTCCATAGGTTTGACTGGCAAATCAATCTATGTATCGCAAAGCACGCCACGAGCCACGTCACCGGTGAACATTGAATAAAAAGGCAAGCAGATCGCGAAAACAACCTGTCTCCAGCAAAATAAGTTGTTGATTATATTTTATTCATAACATTTTAAGGCTCAGGGCACTTTCCGTTTAATGCTCTTATTTTATGTTTATTTTTAATCGATTTAATGTCCTAAAACTATATGTCATTGTCTTAATGGCTCACTAGACGAGGTATACATTAAAACATCACTGGAAGTTCCACAATAAAATTTCACGAAGAAAATTATTGTCGCAACAATAAGTTTGGAAATCAAAACCCGATAGGATTGATACCTTAAGACCTTAATACCTCAAGGAGTTGCTAAAATCACAGAGTTGAGCTGTGTCTGAAGAGTGATGGTTACTTTCGTGATTTTCATCGCAATCCATCGCAGACAATGTTCTTTAATAAGGTTAACGCAGGGACGTATTTCTGTCGAACGGAACTATGTGCACTAACACATGAGCCCTGAGACCCATAAAAATATATGCATAACAGTTCCGTCGACAGAAATATACGTCCAAATGTGTGACGTTTCTAAAAAATAGTGGGTCGCTTTGATAATCATCATACTTCAGGTGCGTAATTAAGGGTGACACTGACAAGGCGCCGCGCCGCCCTAGAGCAAGGACTATGAAAATTATGAAGAATTGTATTGTGAAACAGGATACAAATCGATGTGCTCCTATGTCAAGAAATTGCCTAACCATGCACAGTGAAGGCGAAAAAATGAACCGAAAGCGCACGCCACAATTGGACGCTTACATAACATATTATCATAACGTAAACTAAATAAAGAAACGCGGGCTACAGTTCTAAAAAAAAATGGGCAACAGTTGGACAAATTGTGACAAGAAATAAAGAAACAGGTCAGAGAGCTTATTGTAATGATGGTGATTTGATCTACAAGGAAGGGGTTTTTCGAAGAGTATACAATGAAATTTAACGATAAAATTGCCCAAAGATTGTAAGTAAATGTTCTATCGATCGAAAGTTCATACTACATATCAAACATCTGACATTTCTAAAGTACTATACTCCCTTCGTTATTGTTAATAAGATACAAAATATGCTTGACATGCTCGATACAAGTGAGGCTCATTCGATTTGCTGTTTAAAAATTGTTTGAGTATAACTGAAAGAACCTCATAATATCGCATGGCTTCAGTATTTACGAACATTTATGAGAAAAAGGCCTTTTCTTACGGTGGAAGATTTTTGTGAAAGTTTCGCTGAGTCGAAAGTTTATAGTATGAATTGAATAAGACTTAAAGTTTTCAAGGGAGAACATGCTGCTGTATTCCAAAGAATAATTACATACAGTCCAATATTTTGGCAAAAAAGTACACATATAATTCCACTTATCAAACAATTTTGAACTTGATGGTGAAGTTCAAATTTTTGGGTCAAATGATGTTCAAAATCTTAAATAGGTTTTTCTCAAAACTACACTTTTTGTACTCTAAAATCGGAACCGCCACTAATCCGATTTTGTTTAACTCGTTTGTGCTTTCCTTGCCGAACTGTTCGTTGTCGAACGCCTCTCTATAAAGCAAAGGTATCTATTTTTGGGTGTTTATGCCAGTAAGGCAGGGCCGGATTTACCTACTTGCCGCCCATGTGCCGCCTGTATTTTGCCGCCCCCTTCTCATTCATTTTGAAACCAATAAAAACCATCAAGTGAACGCGCCGGAGGGGGAGGGGTGCATAAGACGCGTTTACTCGTGTTGGACACATTTTTTGCGAAAGCCCTGTCAACACTACTAGCAAAAGTTCACGGAACTTTGCGCGAAAGTTAAGTTCCGTAAACCTATCTCTGTGTGAACAAGGCCTTTCATTTGTAAGAAATAAACGTAAAAATTATGCAAGACCAAACATAAATGTGGTTTAATAATAATTTTAACCTCCGCCGCGGCGCCGCGCTGACCGCACTGTGTTTGACGCAATATGTAAAGTATTCACGCAGTCTTGTAGGCGCTATGTATTTCACGCCGACCGCCCCTGAACGCATATTGTGTTTGACGCAATGCGTGAAGTGTTCATGAGGTCTGGTAGGCGCTATGCGTTTCACGTCAACCGCTGCGCTGTTGACCGCACTGTATTTGACGCAATGCGTGAAGTATTCATGCAGTCTTGCAGTTGCTAGTATGTGTTACATGCCTACCGCCGCGCCGCGCTGAGGACTTCTCCTTTTCATCTCAAGTCCTCATCATCATTGCTCTCTGCGCCGCGTCGCTCCATGCCATATTGCGTGTTTTCTTGTGTCACCGAAAACCGAAAGACGCTTTTCTCGTTTGTAATTTTTTTTTCTGAATCCGAATTTTTTTCATACCTATTTTTAAAAAAATTGCAAAATTTGCCGCTCCCTAAATTTGCCGCCATGGGCCGTGGCCCATGTGGCCACCCCCTTTATCCGGCCCTGCAGTAAGGACTTTTTTGAATGAGCAGTCAAAATCAATCCATATCGACTGTGAAACTGCAAAAATGCGTACCTCAGTTGCGGCGTTTCAAAATCTCCGCTCCTATTTTATTTTTAAAAGGAGACCGAGTCAACATCAAACCTTGAAATTTTCACAGAAGATTTTTTGCACGCAGAAAAAAAACCATCGAAGTTTTAAAGAAAGGACTTCAGTATAGTTTTCAATATAAAAGAAATAAAAAAATGTTAAATAATAAATGTGACGGCAAATTTGCATCGCAGCAAACTGAGATACGTATTTATGCAGTGTTACCCTCGATATGTAGATGTATTCTCTGTGGATTTACCGTAGTTTAAAGGAAAATATGTCCCGTATTCATCGACCAAATTCACCAGAAACTAGAAAAAAAAGTTTGGTCACATGAACCACAGTGCGGTGTCCCATTCTGACTATGCTGCATGGTTATGGTTAGTGTAACCGTACTCCTGATCCTGGCAACCGTAGTTAAGACTTATGCAACCGAAATATTTTTAAGATTCAGTCAATGCCACTGGGCTTTTTCTGCAGCTCGTTAGAGCCAAATCATGTGAACCTGGGGTATTACTAGAACCGAGAAAACGGCTACTCGAACCGAAAACACGGTTAGATGAACCGTATGGTACGTCTGAAATGGGACAATGCATTGCGGTTCATGTGACCGAACTTTTTTTCCTAGTGAACGCGAGGAGAAGAACAAAACCATAAGTGTCAAGATAGAAAGTTACGACGCAAGAATCTTACAGACGTTTACCATCACCGGTCGGCAGACAGAACATGTCAAATTATTCCATAGCTTATGTCAAACATTCGAATAGAACTTACCGGCTTATGCAAAAGCCTTGAGTCTTGCTATGACGCAGCAATCCGCGGTCTGCAATGCGCGGCTGCCGCGCGGTTCAAGAAGCCTCATGTGTAAAAACAACGTAAGTGCAATGTATCTTAGACGGGACTTTCGTTATTCTCACGCGCGGTGCTTCATCTCCAGATGGTGACGATAATCCATCGGACCCTCGCAAGTTCTAGCACGTTTTTGAGGATTGTTGGCAACAGAGCTTTCAGGTTGGTACCACTTCTGAGGAACGCGGTTGGCTGGACTGGGTCTGGTAGTGGGACGCCAGGTTCTGATTTCTGTCTTAGCCCACCATCTTCAGTCTTACTTGTGACCTCAGCCGCGCAGGCTGTAAGAGAATGCAACAGTTCCATTATATCGTTCTTTTAAAATTTGTTTTGTTTTGTTGAATTCTTTGTTGAAGTTAGTGATTTATTCTTGCGTTCAGCTCGTTTTTTGGATACACTCATTTATCTCTGCGGAAGACTTACAGTTTCGGATTTTACAAGATGGTTTTCTACTACGAGAAGGTAAGTAGGACAGACCGTAACAGGTTTTTTCTTGCTAACCGACCTCATCCTTAGTTCGTCTTTTCCAAGCTGACGTTTCAGCTAGAATCTTCATGAAGGTTGATCGATTTAAACTAAGTTGTCTTGAAAATCTTCAATGGACCCAATTTGCCTTTCTGGGAGAAGATGGTCCGTGGAACGATCAATTTATCTAGAAAAATTCATTTTTACCTTTTTCTCGGAGGATAATTTCGGAGGTAGTCTTGTAAGTTTTCTTCCTTTAAACCACATCCCTTAACACCTCATTGCGCATGACTTTAAAGTTTTATTGGTACCTAGGTACTCCCCCCCCCAAAAAAAAAAAAAAAAAATCTGGTGCAACTTTTTTCACCTTTTACAATATCTTGTCCTGTATGATATGGGTATGGGCATGTTCTTACAACCCGAATTTCTTCTCGGCAACTGTACTGAAACAATTTGATTGCCATAGAAGGACTCTTAAAACATTCCTGTTTTCCAAAATAGCTGCATGATTCTAGAATGTTTCTGTTGGGCACGAGGTTTCGCAGCCCCCCCTTCCCCCTCCCCTTACCTAACCTTAAGTTCCTCACTTAGTTTCCTTCTTACGTGGTTATCACAATGTGACTGACATTGTTACATCGATTTAGATCTGTGTTGACTATTACTTGTTGCTCAGTCACACATAACTACGGAGCTAGTTGCTACTTAATTTAATTAGATCCTTACCTGCTACTTATATTTGGAAGTGCTTGAATGTTACATATTTTTGCAATTTGTCGAGCAGGGGGACCCCCTCCCCTCTCCTCCCTATCTAGTCCCCTTTGCCTATCGTGCACAACTTTCTTTCCTTCGTTTGTCTTTATTTTTTGCGCTCTTGTCTTAATTTCGATAGTATTTATTTGTTTACTTTCTTTAAAGAGTGCCATAGAACTCTTAGCCATTCAATTTATTAAAGCCATGAAAGCCATTTGACCACTACCGGCGACTTTTTAGGCATGATTTTTCTTTCTTCTTTTTTTTGAATATATCTTGACACTTGATAAAAACTCTATAGTTTACTACAGCGCCTGCACTGCAGTTAGAATAAAAATGAACTGAGAATCTGATACAAAGATTATGTCCGAATTACATCTATAATACTAATTTGATGTAGTTTGAAAACTTTCAATGAAAAGAGTAAATTTCGCACCGAAGCTCACGGTAAATGTAATTACCCTCTTTTTACTTGATGCTAAGCGGTAATGTTATCCCGGCGTGATAAAAGTGATATTTGGATTGCGTTAATTGCTTCGGATCGGCGGAGGCAATATGATGAGAGCTCGGCTCCGGAGGTTGGGCTGTAGGTAACGGTTTTCTTCACCAGCTCAAACCTCACCATTGTCAGTGTTAGAGTCAATGAGCTAACCGCATAGGCCGCATAAAGCCGCAAATTAAGCATTAGTACAAGAGATGACTTCACAATTTGTAGCATTGTGACGCGTCATTTCAGTCACATTTTGGAGGGGGCAAAAGTTGTTCCAAGGAGGCATATTTGCTGGAGCGGGGGCGGGCTGAAAAACGTAAATTGATCGAAATCTGTCGAAACCATATTCAAAGATGGTCAACTTCACAATATCGAGGGGGGGGGGGGGGGGTGGTGCCCCTTACATTCTTTTCAAATGATGCCTTTATTGCATCTTAATTCACTCATTCTTTTACTATCCATTAATCGTTAATAAAATTCAAACTTGCGCTGTCAATTAATAATTTCAGGCTCATCGGTAAAAACACTTATGTGCTCAGGGAAACTAATGATAAATACGTTGTTTCTAAACCGAGCTAGAAAATGTTGTTCCTTACTGCAAAATGAAATCCATGTTGTCTATCTTGCCAAGAAAAAGCGCCACATGAATATTCAAACTTCGCAAAAAAATTTCCCAAATAAAATCACTTTTCAGAGAGATTTTTTGCATTTTCCTATGAATTTTTTTTAGAGAAATTCGCCCTACATTTGAATATGCGTACCTATATTCAATGAAACTACCCATACATGCTCTCAAAAAGACATATTCCATAGGGAAGAATTCGGCAACCTTAAAATGTCAATGCGTGATCTTTCGGTTGGATTACATAACTTTCGGGTCGGGGGGGGGGGGAGGGGGATTCGAGTCTGCGGCACCCTGTGTAAGCGCGCAAGTGAAGGCCGAAGTCTAAACATGCGTAACGGTTCAAAGTTTAATATGAAGTCCCTGATTCTTTATAGTTATCACTATAGAGCCATATTTTGTCACCTGATGAGAATTAGGGAGGGGGAGGAAAGTTCTGCTCGGTGTTTATTAATTTATTCAGGGAGATTCTGACTTGCATTACAGGTGCATAACAAGGGAGAGGGTATTCAAAATAGTGGTAAGGTTCGGTAACCTTTTTTTTCCTCCATACAAATCAATTTCAAATTTCGCCTCCATCAATGAGGTGCCTGGCAGAGAATCGATTGTTTTGCATTTATCTTTAATTGGGAAAAAACAATGTTCCTAACTTATGTTTGTCAATGCACTCTAACCGTGGCTAATTTTCTCGCAAAGGAGACCTGACTTCACTAACGCTCTTTCCATGGGGGCCGTTTAAGTATTAGATAAGCTACGTAAAGGAAGGGGGTCCAACCTTGCCTTAAGTGATCTTGCGAGGGAGAGGAGGGGTTAGAAAGTCTGTCAAAATTCTTTACGGAATACTTGGCCCCGATCACTGCGGCTCAACGGCTATCGCGAGACTTACAGTTTTGGTTTTAATTTGCTCTGGCTTACACTAATTCAAAACTTCCCCGCGCACTGAGTTCTACCAAACGATGACTCAAACCATGGATGTTAGGTAATGCGAGGAACTATGCCTCGAAAAGAGGTCCAGCAAAAAAAGAGCCTCGACATAGCCACAGCGTGGGGGAGGGGGGGTTGCGGCTGAGGGGGCTGGGGGGCTGGGGGGGCTGGGGTAATAACTGGTTACGCGGGGGATTTCCCACCGACCGAAGCGATGTGAAAGCAAAGCTAATGACGTAGGTTGTTGGCGGTGGGGCACAGTGGGGCTGACGCCCAGCGGCTTGGAGCGCCGCCCAGCCAAGGGCCGAGCGCGCGAAAATTCAAAACAACCAACCTCTGGAATTTCCTTGGAAATTTTAAGACCCCCNCCCCCCCCCCCAAAAAAAAAAAAAAACCTGGAATGACCTGTCTTTTGGAAGGCAATTCTTCATGGGAAAACGTATATTTTTTCATGAACACGGGCTCTAGAGAGTTGATCCCCACGAAGCTACAACCCCCCGAAGTTTAAAAAAATATGAATCTCTTTTAGATTTCGGAGACAATCTTGGGCCAGTCGTCGTGAAAATTCGGAGCTAGATTCGTATGAAACAAAACAGTGTCGCCAACTTGTGAGAGTCGCCACCTTTTTGGAAACCTCCCTCATGCAGAAACCCGATTTTTCGCAGTACGGTAGAACAAATAATCGGTCCCTCGGGGTGGATTTTTTTACTTCAATAGAAGTTTTACTCGTGTTGGTAATTATAGATACTTAAGTGGTTTCTACTTAACTTGAAGGTCCAATTTTGTAGGCCAATTCAGCGGTTACGTCATCTTGTTGTTTCATGTTCATAGAGAAAAGTTAATGTTTTTGTACGAGTTACTCGATATTTGGCCCCTCGAATCAATAGCACGTGAAGTCCATAGAAATTGTTGTAGAGGGCATTCTTATTTCAGCAGAAAATCACCCACTTTTCCAAGAGGTGGTAGGTATTTATGGGTCATTCACTCGTATGTCAGAGAGTCGTCTTTTATCACGCATCAGTTGCACTAGCCATAGAATCATAGGTTCTAATTTTGATGGATGAACTTCTGCAGATCTGAAAAAAATATTCCAGATCCCGTTCAAAACTTCAAACACTTCAGTGTGAGAGGAGAGTACATATTCACGGGATTACATATTATTATTCACGAGAGTACGTATTCATGGGAGTACATAAAGCCTTTCGCAAAACATCGCAGTCAGAATGTAAGCCAATGACTGGATGCATGCTAAGAGTTGTTCAATTAGATATTTCTGAGATGATGCCAGCAACTAAAATAATGAGAAAATATGGAATTGAAAGGCTGGAATTTTAGCTGATTCGTTCAAGTCCAAAATCAGCCCACTTTGCGATGTTCTGATGCTCCATGTCTTATACCGCATCCAAGTGCCGGTGGACTTGTAAGTGCGCAGTTGATTCCAGTGGCGAGGCGTGAATGATTATCGATAGTTCCCCATTTGAGACTATGTTAAAGAATCGATCATAAAGGTGTTCGTTGCGAACACCCTGTTTATCGATCCTTTTCCATAGCTTTAAATGGAAGATCAATCGATATATCGCAAAGCACGCCAAGCCACCGATCGGGTAAATTTTAAACATACAGCGCCAGTGTATGAACGATTCTGATCATAATTTCCTGATAATGAGTTCTCGAGAAAAGATCGTTTTGACCTTTTTTAATTTTTTCTCCGCACGCTTTGCTCACTAATTTATATATTTGCGCCGAGACCTGTAACGATGAGTGTAGTTGAGCTCAAAAACATGCTCGTAACTAACCCGATTTTGTAGAGAAAATGTAATCCGATACATTTTTAAGATTTAAAATTATTAAATTATGCTCCGACAGGCGGAGTTTTATTTCTCCTATGTGTGAACCTGCCGATCCGATGCGCGTTTAATTCATGCCGCTTGGTATGAAGTGATGGTGGAACTTAAAATAATTTCTATGGACGCTGTCAGAGCTACTCATAAAAAGAGATTTACATATTTTCAATCTCACCGGCAGCATTGAAATAGGTTATGCTACTGATATTGTTTGGATCCAATTCGACTACTGGAGAATCTTTGTAAAGTAGTATCATAAACGATGGTTCAATTCTAAAAATACGTAACCCAATTACAGTATTTTAAAGTCCTCGTTCATATTTGATTTTTTCCAAGAAAAATTGACGAAAAAAATATGCCATGAAATTTTTACAAAATAATTTCGTCAGGGCGAAGTAAAATCAAAGAAATGTCCTAGAATAGTGACCAGTTCTTTTCAATCAATAAAATACTAGAGGAAATTTTTACCTTGTTACGTGCTTTTAGAGTTTAGCCATGCAGCACTGTATCTAGGATTTAGAATGTCCATGGGCGCCGTCTGTGGTGCGGGCCCGGCCCCTCTTTCGTACACCCCCCGTAGAAGGGGTAAACTCACCCAGTCGAAGGGGTCGGAGGCCTCTCTTGTTACGTTGTTGAAATTTTTACCCCTCTTTAATGCAATTCTTCTGCAATTCTTCTTCCTTAACACGGCAGCATCTATGTCAATATTTTTGTCTGCACCTGTGTTCACTCACAATACATGTTCAAGGTAATTCCCATACCCATCGCCATGTCCACGTCCATATCAATGCACTTTCTGCTGGTGATTTCCAGACGAATGACTAGAGATTATTTTGTTTGCCCAGATGCCGCAGACAGTTCCGAGCAACGACTTCAGTTGCTCGACGTTGGACTACTCGACGGACTTCCTGGCGGACAGCTTCGACTTGTCCCTGCTGCCCTCTAACCTGGACAGCCAGGTGCCGGGAAGCGGGCAGAACCTGGAGCAGATCTTCTCCTTCTACTCGGAGAACAGCCCGCTCCCGATGTTCCCCAACACGACGATCGGGAAGGAGTCCGATCTGCTCGGCAAAGGCCACGCCGGCGAGATCACCTGCGACCTCGTTCTCTCCATCAAGAAGGAGCCCTTCTCCGACGTCTGCGCTTCGCCCATGATGGGCTCCTACGTCTCCTCCCCGTCGCCCCCCTTCCAGGAGTGCCCTGCCTCCCCGGAGGCCGCCCCCCTCCTCCCCAACCTCAAGCAAGAGGTAAGCAGATTAAGAAAAATACTTTATTATTCACAATGATCAAGTTATACAAATTAGATTACATTTTGCGATAAGGAACTATTATCTCTGGCTCCTCTATACAAGCACATAGCACCGCTCTGCATAGAGAAACCAATGACATATATGTTGTTTCTAAAATGAGCTATAAATAGTTGTTCCTTATTGCAAAATATAATCCAAATATTCCTTAAGACGGAAACTCTTTCCCATTCACCAGTCTAAAAACGTAACGACATGTCACCGCTGCAAAGTTTCCACTCTTAAACTGAGCTTTAATCGGCAAAATTTCGAGCATCTCCAACCGAAAATTTTAGCAATGTTTTATTTCAGAATTACTCACAAAAATGAACGACATTTTTGACCAGAATTTTGAAGTCATATTTTTGTAAAAATGTGAATAATTTGAGTCAATTTTGCAACCTTGGAATGGAGTCACTTTTTTCCTTGCGAGAAACCACGAATTTTTCGATTCAGCGAGCTGATTAGGGTTCATAAGGATAGACTTGCGGTTGCTCGATAATGGAAAATTTCTCGCCCCTTTGAGAAAAAAGGATCAGCATTTTTAGCCATAATTTCATTATCACTTATGTTAAATGCATTATTGATATGAGTCGTTTCTGAGGCTGACAAAAGCGCCCTCAAAAAATGATTTTCCACGAATTCGCGATTCTTCGCTCAGGTTGTTGGCGGTTCTTAACTGCTCCGCTTAGCCTTTTTCTCTAAACGCTGAACGAAGATCAGAGGCGGATACAGCAATTTGGCAACACTGGATTTCCTCCATGTAAACCTATATTAAATAATCGATTCTTGAGAAAGTACCTGGTCCCTCCCAGAATCGATACATTTCTATAGGTTTATACGAAGAAAAGACAGTGTTGCCAATTTGCCGAATCCGCCAATGACGATGATAAAACTCTTTCGCTTGGATCTCCGGAAACTAAGATTTTCTTCGTCTGTCAATAGGCGGCGGTGAACATCCAGGACATCCTGGAAGAACTGCGACAGGCGCAGCGGCTGTACATGCAGGACAAGCGGAAGGAAGTCTCGCTGGCAGTGGACAGGAGTCCGGAGTCCTCGGTGCCCGAGACGGTGCTCGAGAAGGAGATGGAGCACAAATCCGCGGTGAAACCCGAGGTCGACGACCATCGCCTCCTGCGGGAGGTGCTCAAGGACACGAGCTTCCAGAAGAAGTACCACCTCCGACCCTTCGACATGGGCGACTTGGGCACCGGCTTCCAGCCGGAGGCCAACGGTGCCGGGGCTCAGGTGCAGAAGCAGGAACCCGAAGAGGTGGAGAGCGCTCCCAAAGTGAAGAGCGAGCCTGAACAGCTGGCAAAGGACAACATCTTCGGCGTGGATCTGTCCCAGGAAGGGATCGGCCCTGTCTTCTCGCTGGCCCTCGAGCAGCTCAAGAAGGACGTCCACAACACCAGCACAATTCTGGGCATATCTCGAGGTAAGTTCGTTTCCTTCTCTTGTCCTGATCTCTTGATTTGTTTTTCTATCATGAGTTGAAGAGGACCTCTAGACAGCTATGAATTAAAGCACGACGCTCCGCCTTTTTTTCTCTTCGAAACTTTACGAGGAAAGCAAATCACACCACGAGAAGTCTGATCGTCAACTCCTCCCTGGTACAAATTAGCGATAAGAGCTGCGTTTCAAAATACCATAGGAATTCTTATAGCCGGCTAAAGAAGGCCACAGGAAATCTGTAGAAAACGGAGAAAATCATACGGCCGGGCTATACGAAGGGATAAAAAATTATGCAGCCGGGCTATAGTTCCTATCGCCGGGCTTTACACTTTATCGCCTGGCTGTTGCTTTTTCGCCATCGATTATAAAAGGCTATAAGGAATTGTGTAGACATTCGTGTGGTTTGGAAATCATTAAGTTTGATACGGAACCACCTTAATATTTACAAAACACACATTATATTTTCCTTTAATACATATTTTTTTTTCATCAATTAAAATGAGATTAATCCATTACAGAGTGTGCAAACATTTCAAAGTCATGAGTTGAAAAACGCTGACTCCACGAGATTAAATATTAGAGCCTAATACAAAGCGGAGCGGTGTGGCGACGCACTGGCGCCTACAAACCTAACAGAGATACTTCAAGCATTGCGCAACGCGTGAAGTATCCCTGTTACCAATTACATTCCTCCATACCTCATCTGCCCTCTTTGTCTGTAGCTTTGGCTATCAATTTTAATGATCGGCCCTCTGAGAGGGCGTTTTATACACCCGGTACGAGTTATAGTTTTGACAATGAGCACGGCAACCCTGCTGCCCATTTTATGGCCAAGTTCACGGAATGTCTTTCGGTTCGAGTTTTTTTTCTCTTGACAAAAGCGCGGAGATGCATGCTCAATCTGGCAGCGTTGAGGCTGAGGTCGGGCTTTGAAGTGCTTTGAGACTCGTGAAGCGCAAGCAAGTTACTTTCTCTTGACGACGACCTGAGCCCTGAGCGAGCGGCAGGTTAGGCGCGGCTTGCGGGACCATGTTACACTGTTAGCAACGTGTCGGAGTCTCAGTCAGTGTCGGTGGATGTTGTCAAGTGACCCAACTCGTAGGATACCCTTCAAATCAACACATTCATTCGTTGAGATGATGACCTGGAGTATCTATATATAGGGGGGG